GGGGGCTTAAAAATGAAGCATTGTTGGGTTTTTAAATGCCATAGGAAGAAAAAAACCCCAGTTGTCAACTACTGCGTTCGGGGGCACTTGTTTTCCTTGTCTCAAATAATGGGACCGGGGATTATCTCTGGGGTTAAAAATTCTTGCCGGAAATGACAAAGACCAAAGGTTCTGGAAAGGGATTAGGAAAATATCACTCCCCACCCTTGTTGAGGCCTGGTTGAAAATACGGGTTTTCCCCTGGGAATGCTCGGGGGAAGGAGGGTTGTTGAATCTGCCTTTATCGGCTGCTGGCCTTGGGGGATTGCCCGGCCCGTTTGTGGGAGGGTCTGTGTTTGATTATCTAAAAGAAACCCCTTTCAATTTGGATTTGGTTTGGTGATCACCATGGCAGCTCTATGTAAAGGGGAAACCCTGAAGCTTTGCTTGTGGAAATCATAGTTGTCCAAGAGTGGAGGGGTGGGGGGGGTTTAGAAAAAGGCGTGGACCAATAAGGAATCTAAAAGTGGGGGGGCGGGGCCGGGACCCCTTTCCTTTCCCGCTTGAGCAATTTACGCAACTTTTTACTATATTTTTGATATTCACACAGTCCTAACCCTCAAGGCGCATAAACTAAGTTCCCAACTTACATCAAAACCAACAGGCTTCATCCTACCTGTCCCCAACGCTTTTTTCAGGTTATCATAACGCTACTACCTCCCCCCCCCCCACCCCCCTCTCTTTGGGGTTCCAAAGGCTCCGTCCTGGGGCCCCCTTCTCTTCTCCATCTACCCCCTCCCCCTGGCCAACTCATACACTCCACATCTTTAACTACAACCTCTATGCACAAATCTATCTCTCAACCCCCCACCTCACCCCCTCATTTCCCCCCCCGAATCACCAAAACCCACTGAGGACATATCAGACTTTATGTCGCCCACTTCCTTAAACTGAACCCTTTCCAAAAAAACCCTGTTTCTTGCTTCCCCCCAGCCCCACACCACCCCCCATTTACCTTTTTTCCCTCACATCAAAAAGCCACCTCAAAACCCCCCCCGCAGGCCGAGTACTTGGTGTCATTCTGGCTCCCAAACCCATCCCTTCCGCCCCCAAATCCAATCTTTAACAAAATCAACAGATCCACCTCCTAACATCGCCAATATACGCACTTCCTAACCCCAAAACCATAAAACTCACCCTTTCCCCATAATTATCACACTTGACTACTGCAACTCCCTCCTTATGGCCTGCCTGCCACAGGCTATCCCCACTTCATTCGACCAAATACGGCGCCAGACTCATTCCCCTTTTCCAAAACCCCCTAAATTTCCCCCACCCCCCTCTGCCAATCCCTCCACGGGCTTCCTTTGCGCAACGGATCAAATTAAAAAATCCAACATGACGTAAAAAGCTGTCCCCCCTACTGCCCCGAACTCATAAATGACCTATATCCAAGTACCCCCCACCCCTCCCACCCCCAACCCCCCACCCCCCCTCCACCCCACCCCCCCCCCCCCCCCCCCCCCCCCCCCCCCCCCCCCCCCCCCTATTTTCTCTTTTCCCAAACCCACAATGGCACAGGGAGAGCTACAAACTTCAGGGAATGGTGGAATTTGAAACAAACCAGACGCCAGGCGGGGAAAGGGAAATTTATCACTGTGCAGCCCATATATATTAACTTTGTTTTAAATTTCACTGTTTGGGGGGGGGCATGCTACTTGTAGCGTTTTTTAACAAAAGCGGGGAAAGTCATGCAAAAAATCCAAAAGGTAAAAGTGGGTCAATTTAAGGCCATCTAAAAACTACTAAAATTTCTCCCCCCCCAGCCAAAAAATTTTAACCTTTGTATTTTTTAGGTTCCTCTCCATTTTCTACACGCATTACCTCTAAGTTTAGCGAAGTATTAAAAAATTCGTTTCAAACCTGTTTTGGGCAAATTCGTGAAAAAATTTTGATTGAGTCGAAAAAAAATTTTTTCCCGCTGCAAATTTTAACTTAAAAAAAGGATGTTTTTTTAGGCTTCAAGAGCCTTTATATTAGTCAAAAACACTGAAAACCTTTAATTTAAATGCCCTTGGAGTCTGCTGGGGAAAGAAATAATACTGACAGTCCATATGACTGCAGATGAGTGCCGTCGATCTTAGAATCACCCACGACTTCACTCAATTGGGCAGTCACGGGCCAAAACCAGAGTGTGGAGCCACAGTGTGGCGGTGGAAGCAGCATCAATGGGAGCCATACGCACCCTATGGACAAAATTGAACCCACACAGCAGTGTGCGGAGACCTGAAAGTGGCACATGGCAGAGTGTGGCGATGGAGACAGCATCAATGGGAGGGCCTACAGGGACCCATGGACACACTCTGGACCTGGCAGCAGCATGAGGAGGCGGTACCAGGGCCCATGACAATTAACGGGTCCTAGGCAGCAGCATGAGGAGTCGTACGGGGCCTCATGGCAGATTACGGGCCATGCAGCAGCAATGGGAAGGCCGTACAGGGACCCATGAAACACACTGGACCTGGGAGCAAGCTTGAGAGGGCGGTACAGGGGCACGCCATGAGCACATAACAGGGCCCTGTCATGAAGGGCATGAAGATGTCGTTAAGGCGAGGGCGGATGACACACTCTGCATGGACCTGGCAGCAGCATGAGAGGCGGTACAGGGGCCAACAAATACAGATTAAAAGGGGCCAGGGGGTAAGCATAGCATGTAGAGAGTTCGGTAAAGGGGGGCCCCATAGGCAGATTACGGCCTGGCGCAGCAAATGGGAGGGGCCTGGCAGAGCTAGCCTCTACAAAATGGGAGCGCGGGCGAGCGCAGCATGTGCGCGAGACTTTCGGGAGAGGCGGCATGGCAGTGTGTGGCCCTGGAGACCAGCCCAGCACCCATGCCAGGCCGTACAATGCCCCAGAACAGACCCAAAACTGGACCCTGCATCAGGCAAGAGTCCCCCCCTACCAGGGGCCAATGACCCAGATTACGGGCCTGGCACGCAGCATGAAGTGCTGTTGGAGCGACCTTAAAGTGGCACAATGCACATGGCAGCAGTTACGGTGGCGATGGAGACAAGCAAAAGCAGCAATGGGCGGAGACCGTACAGGGACCCCAAACCCCATTGACACACTCTTCTTCTCTGGCTTCAGCATGAGGAGGCTTTTTAGGGGCGCATGACAGATTACGAGCCTGGCAGCAGCAACTTGGACAGGAGGCGTTCAGTCTTCCAGCACCGTCGGGTGCTCGTGCTCGCAAAACTGTTGTCTACTTGGAAAACGGATTCCAAGAAAGACTGCTGACGGAATCCGTGTAGAGAGTGCGTAGGAGAAGGAGGCGCTCATCTGAACGAGCGGAATATGCCAAGATCAAGCGACAACAGGGGCCCATGACCAGATTACGGGCCTGGCAGCAGCATGAGGAGTCGGTAGACGGGGGGCCCATGGCAGATTACGGGCCTGGCAGCAAGCAATGGGAGGCTCCCATAATCCCCCCATCCTATGAAACCACCCCCCCCACCAGCTCCTATGAGGAGAGGGGCCTGAAAGTGGCACCACATGGGCAGAGTGTATAGGCCCATGGAGCACTAGTCAGCCTGGCAGCACAATGGGAGGCCCGTAATCTGCCAGCACTCCTATGACAAAATGGAACACACCAGCAGTGTGAGGAGAGACCTGAAAGTGGCACATGGCAGAGTGCGATGGACACAGCACAATGGGAGGCCGTACAGGGACCCATGAGCTCTGGACCAGGCAGCATGAGGAGGCGGTACAGGGGCCCATGGCAGATTAGGGGGCCTGGCAGCAGCAATGGGAGGCCCGTAATCTGCCAGCACCCTATGACAAAAATGGAACACACCAGCAGGATGTGAGGAGACCCTGAAAGTGGCACATGGCAGAGTGTGGCGATGGAGACAGCAGCAATGGGAGGCCGTACAGGGACCCATGAGAGACACTGTGGACCTGGCAGCAGCATGAGGAGGCGGTACAGGGGCCCATGGCAGATTAGGGCCTGGCAGCAGCAATGGGAGGCCCGTAATCTGCCAGCACCCTATGACAAAATGGAACACTCTAATCTGCCAGCACCCAGACAAAAGGAACCACAGTGTGAGGAGACCTGAAAGTGGCACATGGCAGAGTGTGGCGATGGAGACAGCAGCAATGGGAGGCCGTACAGGGACCCATGAGAGACTCTGGACCTGGCAGCAGCATGAGGAGGCGGTACAGGGGACGGCAGACCAGCAATGGGAGGCCCGTAATCTGCCAGATGACAAAATACGAACACCTGGCAGACCTGAGCAGCAGAGTGTGGCGAGAGACCCCCGTATCTGGCCAGCACCCATGAGACACTGGGACCTGGCAGCAGCATGGAGGAACACAGGGGGCCCATGGCAGATTAGAGGAGCAGCTACCTGAAAGGCCCGTGCCAGCAACATGACTGGGAACAGCAGCAGAGTGTGAGGAGACCTGAAGTGGCAGAGTGTGGCGATGGAGCAGCAAATGGGAGGCCGTACAGGGACCCATGAGAGACTCTGGACCTGGCAGCAGCATGAGGAGGCGGTACAGGGGCCCATGGCAGATTTAGGGGCCTGGCAGCAGCAATGGGAGGCCCGTAATCTGCCAGCAGCACCCTATGACAAAATGGAACACCACCAGCAGTGTGAGGAGACCTGAAAGTGGCACATGGCAGAGTGTGGCGATGGAGACAGCAGCAATGGGAGGCCTTACAGGGACCCATGAGACACTGTGGACCTGGCAGCAGCATGAGGAGGCGGTACAGGGGCCCATGGCAGATTAGGGGCCTGGCAGCAGCAATGGGAGGCCCGTAATCTGCCAGCACCCTATGACAAAATGGAACCACAGCAGCAGTGTGAGGAGACCTGAAAGTGGCACATGGCAGAGTGTGGCGATGGAGACAGCAGCAATGGGAGGCGTAAAGGGACCCATGAGACACTGTGGACCTGGCAGCAGCATGAGGAGGCGGTACGGGGGCCCATGGCAGATTACAGGGCCTGGCAGCAGCAATGGGAGGCCCGTAATCTGCCAGCACCCTATGACAAAATGGAACCCACCAGCAGTGTGAGGAGACCTGAAAGTGGCACATGGCAGAGTGTGGCGATGGAGACAGCAGCAATGGGAGGCCGTACAGGGACCCATGAGACACTGGGACCTGGCAGCAGCATGAGGAGGCGGTACAGGGGCCCATGGCAGATTAGGGGCCTGGCAGCAGCAATGGGAGGCCCGTAATCTGCCAGCACCCTATGACAAAATGGAACCCAGCAGCAGTGTGAGGAGACCTGAAAGTGGCACATGGCAGAGTGTGGCGATGGAGACAGCAGCAATGGGAGGCCGTACAGGGACCCATGAGAGACTCTGGACCTGGCAGCAGCATGAGGAGACGGTACGGGGGCCCATGGCAGATTACGGGCCTGGCAGCAGCAATGGGAGGCCCGTAATCTGCCAGCACCCTATGACAAAATGGAACACACCAGCAGTGTGAGGAGACCTGAAAGTGGCACATGGCAGAGTGTGGCGATGGAGACAGCAGCAATGGGAGGCCGTACAGGGACCCATGAGAGACTCTGGACCTGGCAGCAGCATGAGGAGGCGGTACGGGGGCCCATGGCAGATTAGGGGCCTGGCAGCAGCAATGGGAGGCCCGTAATCTGCCAGCACCCTATGACAAAATGGAACACACCACCAGCAGTGTGAGGAGACCTGAAAGTGGCACATGGCAGAGTGTGGCGATGGAGACAGCAGCAATGGGAGGCCGTACAGGGACCCATGACACACTGTGGACCTGGCAGCAGCATGAGGAGGCGGTACGGGGGCCCATGGCAGATTACAGGCCTGGCAGCAGCAATGGGAGGCCCGTAATCTGCCAGCACCCTATGACAAAATGGAACACCAGCAGCAGTGTGAGGAGACCTGAAAGTGGCACATGGGGGGCATGATTCATGGCGGATTTAGTCAGTTGTGTCAGGAACTGGTGGTTTGAAATCCAGACTAATCCACGCCTGATTCATTTTCACAAACGTGAGTCTCTCCACACTTTGGGTGGACAGTCGTGTCCTCCGCGCGGAGTTACAATACCTCCTGCCGCACTAAACACGCGCTCCGATGCCACGCTACTGGCCGGGCATGACAGCCTTTCAAGGGCAAATTCAGCTAGTTGGGGCCAAAGGTCAAGTTTCGTTGCCCAGTAGTCAAGGGGATTGTCTACCTCGGTTGGCAGGGTGCTGTCCAAGTAGGCCCAAGCCTGTTGTTTGAGGTCCTGCTCCAGGTCCACCTGATGCTGCTGCTGCTGCGGCTGGTTAGTAGTTTCCTCACTGCGCTGGTGAAGAAAGCTACTCATCATCGACTGCAGACTGAGGCAGCCGCTGCTGGTGGAGCTGCCACTGCTCCTACCACCCCACCCCTCCCCTGCTGCCATGGCAGCGGAACGCGAGCGCACAGGGCCCACAGTGTCTGAGGATGGACGTTGGCGCAGAAAGGCAGAGACCAACTGACTACATAGGTGGTTTTTATAGTACGTTATTTTGGCCTCCCTCTCAGCAGGTGTGAAAAAGGCCACCATTTTTGAACGGTAGCGAGGGTCCAACAAGGTGGACAGCCAAAAGTCATCCCTCTGTCTGATGGTTATTATTCGGCTGTCGCTACGCAAGCAACCGAGCATGCTATGGGGGCCATTTGTGCCAAGGAATGCGAGGGACTCCCTGCCTCCATCTCCACAGCATACTGCCACGGTGCGTCTGGGTCCTCTGTCTCCTCCTCCTCCTCCTCTACCAGATGCTCCTGCTCCTCCACTCCTGTCCGCTGAGTGGAAAAAACCACCCATTTCACTCAATAATTCCTGAGCACCAATGTCCTCCTCTACCTCCTCCTCTTCTTCCTGTCCTGCCCCCACAGGGGTCATGTGGCGTTGAGATCTGTGCGCCACGTCTACCGCACCCTGACCAGCCATTGTTAACAGCATTTGTTCCAGGACGTGCAACAGAGGAATGACGTCGTTCATCCCATAGTCCTGCCGACTCACGAATAGCGTGGCCTCCTCAAAGGGCCTGAGCAAGCGGCAGGTGTCACGCATGAGCTGCCAATGGCTGACATCGAAGTTACACAGGGGAGTACCTTTATCCGCTTGTAACATCAGGAAATCGGTGATGGCCTTTCGCTGTTCGTAAAGGCGGTCTAAACATGTGTAGGGTTGAATTCCACCTTGTTGCAAAACGTCGCAGATCAGGCGATGCTGTGGAATTCCGTTCTGCCGCTGCAGCTCAAGGAGGGTGTGCTTTGCGGTGTAGGAATGGCTGAAATGCATGCAAAGTTTACGTGTGACATTTTAAGGATGTCTTGCAGTGGGATGGTGGATTTTAGGAACCGCTTGACAACCAGATTGAACACGTGAGCCATGCATGGCGCATGGCACAACCTTCCTTGACGCAGAGCAGACACCATGTTCTTTCCGTTGTCGGTCAACATGGTTCCGATTTTCAGTTTGCGCGGAGACAGCCATCTGTCGATTTCTCTGTTCATTACACTCAGAAGTTCCTCCCCTGTGTGACTACGTTCGCCAAGGCATACCAGGTGCAGCACAGCGTGACACCGTTGCGCCCTGCACATGTGATATGCCGGTCCGGGGGGTAATGGGACTTGGCACGGGGGTGGCGGCTGAGGACACGGCGGAAGAAGAGGTGGTAGAGGAGAGGCGGACATCTTTGCTGGACCAAGGACGTGCAAACGTGGAGGCAAAAGCGGCGTGACCTGTCCAAGTTGCTGGTGCGGCTGTGCCGGGCACCACGTTCACCCAGTGGGCCGTAAATGACATGTACTGTCCCTGACCGTAGTAGTTACAGCTCCACACACGTCGGCGCTGCCGTGCACTTTGGCAGAGACCGACATGCTCAAAGACTGGCCCACCATCTCTTCTACATGTGAATGCAGGGGCTGGCACTGCCTTTTTGGCGAAGAAATGCCGGCTTGGCACTCTCCACCGCGGGCGCGGCACAAGCCATCATTTCTCGGAAAGGTGCTGAGTCCACCACTTGGAAAGGGAGGGACTGCAGCACCAGCAACTTGGACAGGAGGACGTTCCTTTTGCACCGTCGGGTGCGTGCTCGCAAACTGTTGTCTCTTGGAAACGGATTCCAAGAAAGACTGCTGACGGAATCCGTGAAGAGGAGTAGCAGGAGAAGGAGCATCTGAACGAGCGGAAGATGCCAACGAGCGACAACTCCCCTCAGCAGAGGTGTTGGAGCCTTGACTGGCTGATAGAGGGCGATTGACGTCGGGTGACGTCGGGTGCAAGTAACGGAGCGGGTGATGGAGCGGGGGCTGGGGCAGGCAGAACAACCGCCGTATCTTTATCACGGTTTTCCCAGGCCACCAAATGGCGACGCTGCATATGCTGACGCAACGCTGTAGTCCCAACATGGGCCCCCTGGCCACGCTTGACTTTCTGGCCACATAGTCGACATACGGCTACGTTTACTTCCTCGGGCGGCTTGACGAAAAATTGCCACACACCGCCGAGTAGGAAACTTTGCCCCCGCTACTCCTCACTGGCTGACTGCTACTTCCTCCGTGCACACCGGCACCACTACTGACTGGACTGGTGCCGTGGTGTAGGCTGCAGTGGAGCTGGTGCTCTACTCCGTGGCCGTTTGCCTCCACTGACACTGCGCAATGCGACCCTGCTGCCTCCTGGGCAACCCACCGACTGTTTTGCTCGCTGCCAAGCTGGCACCCTCTTCTCCTGATGATGCGGAAGCAATAGCCTGATGACGACGAGGCTGCCAAGTGCGATCAGCCTCCTCATCATCAATTAGGGTCTCCGCCTCACTACTAGCCCCCTCGGCTGCGTGTGGGGTCAGGAGACAGACCTGTCTCTAGACCGGCTACCGAGCCACTCTCCTCGCCAGTACTTCTTCGCCTGGCTGCTGAAGAGGCGGATGTCTCCCCCCGTTCCTGACCGCCCTCTGTTAGCTCTTCCTCACTGTACAGTGGGGCTGAGCCCACAGCATGCGATACTTCGCTTGGTGAGGGAAACACCAAAGGACAGGGGCAGGTAGAGGACACGTGATTTCAGTGGGCTTGCTCCCGGGCCATGCCAACTAACGGTTGTGTCTGACGTACCCACCGACCGTTGGCTGTAGGTGTCAGAGGTGACCTGGGAAGAGGAAGACGACCGAGCCAACCAATCGATGACGGCAGGGGGTTGTCGGTGGAGACACACGACCGCTGGATGACACCGGGAGCAATGGCCTCTGGCTGCGACTAGTGCTGCCTCGACCCCTTCCTCTGCTGCCACGTCTGCTCGCTCCTAAAACATTGCCTCCTCTGCCACTCCTTCTGCATGTTGTCAGTACATATCTGTTCTGTGTCCCTAAACTGTGTCCCTGAGTAACAATTCTGTGTCCCTGAGTAACAATTCTGTGTCTGTCCCTGAGTAACAATTCTGTGTCCCTCAGTAACAATTCTGTGTCCCTGAGTAACAATTCTGTGTCCCTGAGTAACAATTCTGTGTCCCTCAGTAACAATTCTGTGTCCCTGAGTAACAATTCTGTGTCCCTGAGTAACAATTCTGTGTCCCTCAGTAACAATTCTGTGTCCCTGAGTAACAATTCTGTGTCCCTCAGTAACAATTCTGTGTCCCTCCCTGAGTAACAATTCTGTGTCCCTGAGTAACAATTCTGTGTCCCTGAGTAACAATTCTGTGTCCCCTGAGTAACAATTCTGTGTCCCTCAGTAACAATTCTGTGTCCCTCAGTAACAATTCTGTGTCCCCTCAG